CCCAGGGTACGAGTTACACTGGGGAGGGCTTTGGTTCACTGACTGGATTAATTAGGTGTTATTCCACTCTGAGCTCAGCTATTCCCAGTTGTTTCAGAGAGCATGTCCTTTAGATCACAGATCTCAGTATAAATCTTCTCAAAAGCTCCCAACTGGTGGTTAATAGAGAAACACTGCCATGTATCTCTCTGCTGTCAGCAAGTACGCGCTATTCTTCTGCATCACAGTCACACACTGGTGGGCTTGATGGTGTTTGTCAGGTTTCAAGATGTCCAACATAAAAAAAATCACCAGATCCGCAACTTCCAAAGGTAACAACCAAGCTCCTTGTTTTGGAAACAATAGACTACTGCATAATCACTGAATTTAGTTTCTTTCATAATGTGTCTATGGGTGTTCATACAGACCAATGTAAATTACAGAGCCAGGTAACTGGAAGCTTAATTATTACAACACATAAGCTTTTCCTCTAACCGACATATTGGGTCACAGGGCTCCCCTTGTCCAAAGAGAGTGGAATAATTGACACTTGTTTACTCTCACACCTTTTTGAGCTAAGCAATAATCTGGTCACGCAGGGATGGTGGTTCTCAATAGACTCACAGGTCAGTCGTTGCTGCTTAAGTTAGTAATGGAAGTGGGGAAGGGAGAGGATTGACGTTGTATGTGTACAGTGAAATTGATAAATAAAAAGAAAGATCAGCTGTGAACATCTGGCTCTGTGCACTATGCCTTTCCTTGATGCCGTACTGCTACCTATAAAGAAACTGACCTCCATTTTCCTTCACTTACTTTATTACAGAGAAGGGACAGGTTCCCCGAACCATCCATATGCCCACATCCCTATAGCTGCCTGATGTCAGGTCAGAGGAGATGGAAGAGGGAAATCACTCGGTAGTGACTGAGTTCATTCTCTCAGGTCTGACTGATCGTCAAGAGCTACAGGTCCCCCTGTTTTGGTTGTTCCTTCTGAATTATGTTCTCACCCTCGTGGGGAATGGGGGAATAATCTTGTTAATCACAACTGACCCCCGACTCCACACCCCCATGTATTTTTTCCTCCAGAATTTGTCTTTCTGTGATCTCTGCTTTTCCACAGTAATTGCACCTCAGATGCTGCAAAATTTCTTATCTGAAAGGAAAAGCATTTCCTACACTAGCTGCTATCTACAAACATACTTTGGTATCATTTTTCAAGATGTTGAGTGTCTCTTGCTGGCTGTGATGGCGTATGACCGTTATGTGGCTATTTCTAACCCTCTTCGCTATACGCTCACCATGTCCAGGCAGCATTGTAACCAGCTGATAGCTGGAGTCTATGGGTTGTCATTGGCTGATTCAGTGATAAACATCTGGTTTTTACTCCAGCTGTCATTCTGCAGCTCCAACGTTATCGAACATTTCTTCTGTGAAACCCCCCCATTGGTGGCGCTCTCCTGCTCTGACACCCGCATCAATGAGATTGTGCTGTTAGTCTCTGTGTGCTACATTGTAGTAAGCAGCTTTGTGATCATCCTCCTCTCCTACGTCTGTATCATCTCCACCATCCTGCAGATCCGCTCCGCTGAGGGCTGGCGCAAAGCCTTCTCCACCTGCACTTGTCATTTAACTGTTGTTGTCATGTTCTATGGCAGCCAATTCTTCATGTATTTACGTCCCGCCTCCAGCTATTCCATGGAGACAGACAAAATAGTCTCGTTGTTCTACACACTGGTGATCCCTTTGTTGAACCCCCTCGTCTACAGCCTGAGGAACAGGGAGATGAAGGTCGCCCTGTGGAAAGCAATTTATAAACCTGTCACTCTTTCATAAACCTCTTAAACTCAGTACAGATTCAGCGGTGGAGAGAAAAATAGCTGAAATACATTCCTAGATATTTGCAATGTCACTTTGCAGTGTCCAATGATCATTTTATTATTATTATACATTTGTTTGTATTCCAACATTATCTGCCAGCCCCAGCTGAGACCAAGACTTCACTAAGCTACAGCCCCAGCAAAATTCAAGGAGACACCTTTTTCACATAAATGAGCATAAAATATATATGTAACATGCTTTTCAAAAATGCAGTCGTTGGTACTGGGGGGAAAAAGGCCATCTAATCTTTCCCCCTCTTCTTTTTACTGAGGCTAGATTCATTATACAGCTGAAAGGTTGAAGTGTGTGATTTCTTATGACGAAACCAAAGGGTGTTTCACACAGTCACCCGTTTCTCTGCAGTCTATGTGCTTTATTGGGTCATTGGAGAGAGATCCTGTTTTCTTCATGCATGAGGGTTAGAAAAGTGGCCCTTTTTTAAGTTAAAGGAACAAGAAGAGAAATATTTACAAGGGTAATGTTTCTAAGAAAGGGCATCAAGTGTGTTCCTCATTTGTGCTATCCCACACTGAATTGAATAAGGAGTAATATGGAAAGGGATACGTTTCTCTACCATATAGATTAAACAGAAAGAAAAATCGCTAAATACTTATAAAATATCAGCAGATTCACTATGAGGTCTTCCTTTCTTTTTGGTCTTCCTCTCTAATCTGTTGTGTGGTATTTTAGACGCTGAATAACGGGGGTGGAAGGAATGGATGGGTGAAGAGTCTGTGAGGTTGTGTCTAGACTACATGCCTCTGTCGTTAGAGGCATGTAGATTAGACACAGGCAAAGGCAAATGAAGCCGCGATTTAAATGATCGCAGCTTCATTTACATTTACATGGCTGCCTGGTCTTCCTCTCTAATCTGTTGTGTGGTATTTTAGACGCTGAATAACGGGGGTGGAAGGAATGGATGGGTGAAGAGTCTGTGAGGTTGTGTCTAGACTACATGCCTCTGTCGTTAGAGGCATGTAGATTAGACACAGGCAAAGGCAAATGAAGCCGCGATTTAAATGATCGCAGCTTCATTTACATTTACATGGCTGCCG